AAGAACCCAGATGAACATAAATGAAATAAGTCAGGCAGAGAAAGACAAATACTGTATGATCTCACTGATAACATGGAATCTAAAAAAAAAAAAAAAAAGCCAAACTCATAGATACATAGACTGAATAATATTCCTCTCGTGGTTGCCAGAGGCAGGGGGTGGGGTGAGAAATGGGTGAAGGAGGTCAAAAGTTATAAACTTCCAATTACAAAACAAATAATTTCTGGGGATGAAATGTACAGCATGGTGACTATAGTTAACAATGCTGTGTTATATATTTGAAAGTTGCTAAGGAGGTAGATCTCAAAAGTTGTAATTAAAGAAAACAAATTTGTAACTATGTGTAGTGATGTATGTTAATTAACCTTATTGTGGTGATCATCTCACTACATATCCATATGTTGATCACTATGTTGTACACCTGAAACTAATACAATATTATGTCAATTATACCTCAATTTAAAAAAATTTAAAAACCTCTCAACTGAGATATAACAGATTTTTAAAATTGTTAGACTATTTTTACTATCTTTTAATTTTTAATTTAATAAAAGCTTCAAAATTACTCAGTACTTTCATTAAAAAAAAAAAAAGGAAACAAAGTTGTTACTCTCCCCTGCCCACATTATAGCTTAGCAGGAAAAGCACCGACCTCAGGCCAAAATCATAAAAACTTCCAATTAACTAATAATTGCTGGCATGTTTCCATTTAAATATATTTGCCTTGTTATCTCTGGTTGCTTTTCAAACCGTTAGGTCACTAAAGTCTGCTTTTGAGACAGACTATTCCTCCCCCAAAAGTCAGGGGAAATATAAAAAATGAAATTAGTGATTAAGGATATAAGTTAATTAATGCAATCAATTTGGCTTAATTATTTAAAGTCCAGTTCTTTTTTCTCCAGTACACCTGACAATACACTATCCCCCAGCTATCAGAATTATACTGAGATCTGTAATTTTTCAACGATGAATTTATAGCTCTCACATATATGAAGAGAAGAGAAAGAATCTTGAAGATGAGCCACACAAAACCATTATATGCTGACAATATACACCAAGTTTTACATGCACATACTTCCCGCATATTTTAAAAGATGGGTTCTTTAATACTAACAATGAGATTTTTGTTCCAACTGAGCAATGTTAAGTCTTTTGAGACACATTTGCCTAATGAACAATCACCTTTTAACCTTATACTCTTGGAACCTTGCAATTTTGTTCTTAGCATTTTACCCATTTTTAAGTGTACAACTCAATGGCATTAAGTATATTCACCTCATCCACCTCCAGAACTTTTTCATTGTCCTAAACTGAAACTCTGTCCCCCTTAAACAGTAATTCCCCATGACCTCCCTCCCCCCTGCACCTGGCAGCCAGCTTTCTACGAATTTGACTACTTTAGGTATCTCCCACAAGTAGAAGCCTACGATATTTGTCTTTTTGTGATTGGCTTAATTCATTCAGCAGAGTATCTTCAAGTTTCATCCATGTTGTAGCTGGTGTCAGAATTCCCTCCTTTTGTAGACTGAATAATAGTCCCCTGTACGCAGATACCATGTTTTTTTTTTATTCATTCATCTGTTGATAGACACTTAGATGGCTTCTGCCTTTCGGCTATGGTGAATGACGTTGCTCTGAACATGAGTGTACAAATATCTGCTGGAGCCCTGTCCTCACTTTTTTGAAAGACGTAAAAGAATCCCCAGAGTGGCAGTACTGGATCATGCGGTGATTCTGTGTTTCATTCTGATGAAGCACTGCCAGGTGGTTTCCACAGTGGTCACCTCATTTTATCTCCCCAGCAATGCACAAGATGAACACTCCTTTTTATATTCATGCTTCTGAATACCTTTTGTTAAAGTCTTGTGCTCTCAAGACCAGCATTTGTCTGTTGACTTATTTACAGAGATATTTAGAATGAAAATTCTACTTCGCAACTGGTGGAGGCGCCCTGCATCCGGAGGTGGTTCTGATTGGTATGTACTGGCCTGGCTCCTCTCTTGCTGGGAGTCTCTTATTCTGATTACCCGAGGGATGTGGGTATGGGCAGGTCGATAAGCACTGCTGGGCAAGTCCTGGTGACCCAGTTGTCCTAAGTGACAGAGACCCGGCCTCTTCCAGAAGGCTTTTCGGCAGGTTTGTGACTCTATTCTAGCGGTGGTCTCCAAAGAACACTGCCCAGACTGGTTCTGTTTACGATTTACTTTATCTTTGATCATCTTGTTGGGTTCTCCTCTGGTTCCTTTGTCTAGTCTTCTAATTAATTTAATCTTTAGCCTTTTAGTATTTTTGCCAATATGTGTCTGAGAATTCCTCTGGGTTTCCTTGGACCCGGATCTTTCACACCCTAGGCAGGAAGTTGCTTTCTGATGGACTTCTAGAAAGTGACTGCATTTTGATGAGGATTTGTGAGTTATAATTGTTGTGACCATTGGAAAGGCAAGAGAGGTTTTTATACCTGAAATACGTGGACCTGACTTTTTTCACTTGGGGTTAGGAAGAGGTGGTAGAAGGGAGGGGGCACAGAGGCTCATTCTCATGGGAGGGAGGGAGTCCCTGGAGTGTCGCCCTCATATTTATTTGAACTGATGGTGCCTGAGGATTCTCCTGTGGATCCTTCCCTAGCTTTCCTTATGCCTTCTGAAAGGTCCCTCTTCCAAACAGGGCTGTGGCAAGGACTGGAAATTTGAGTGATTTTGTGTATGTTTGTCCTCTGTCCTCGCCGACAACTGCTGCTGAGTCTCCTATGCTGGACCCCCTTCCTCACAGCCTCTAAATGGTGAAGTGCCCGGACCTCTGCCTTAGACCTCTTCTCTGTTCTAACTACAGTCATTCCTATGTGATTTCTACCAGTCCCCTGCATTAAATAGATCATTATGTGAATAACTCCCATTTTGTCCTATTCCTAAAACTCTAAATTTGTTTATCCAACTTCTTATATAGTTATCTCAAATTGGATATCTGAGACAAATGTTAAATTGAATGTATCTAAAATCAAACTCTTTATTTTTTCCACCCAAGTCCATTTTTACCTTCTCTCTTTCCTAGGGCAGTAAATGGCTCCACTTATCCAAGAGCCCAGGCCAACATTCTTGTCATCTTCAACTTTTCATTCTCAACTGTTACTTCTAATGCAGTCTGCGAATCCTGCCACTTTTACATCCTAATGTCTATCCATTCTCACCTCCTTCACTGCCTCCCAACCAGTCCCCTGCTTCCATGCTTGCCCCTCCACACGGTTCCCAAGATCGATCATTCATCACATCATCTCTGTTCTCATACCTCTAAGGGCTTCTCATTTTATTCCCAGAACAAAACTCAAAGTCTTTGTCATGACCTGGGGCCCATATAAGGCCCTATATGATCTGTCTCTGGCTGCCACTTTCATCCTATCTCCTCCTGCTTTTGCCCCTATCCCTCTATTTTATCTACACTGGACTTCCAGACATTCCTCACACGCACCCAGCATTCCCACCTCAAAATCTTGAACCTTGCTTTCCCCTAAGTCTGGAACATTCTTCTGTTCTGACATGGCTCATTCCCTCTCTGTATTCAGGTCTCTGCTCATCTGCCACCTTCTCTGAGAGGCATTTTCTCACGACCTTATGCGGAATGTCACCCCCATCCCTCAACAATATGGTAGGTTGCACCATATGAAATGGCCATCTTGGTAAGTCAAAAATGAAATGAAATAGAATATTGTCAATTTCAATTGGTTTAACACATACACATAACATTATTGTACTTACCTGTTATCCTTTATGTATTTATGGTTTTGTTGCTTATTTTTAGGCTTATTATTTGTCTCTTCCCTGGGAGGTAAGTATCTTGAAGGCAATGACCTGGATAGCTCACTTCTAGATGGTACGTGTAACAAACAGGCATCTACAGATCACCACCTGCTATACACCTCTCCCATCTTTTGTCAAACCCTTTGATAAATTAAGCTCATTAAACTGCTCTCTGTGCAGGTACACTGGCATTTTGGGAGGCCAATCCCTTTCACTCCTTGTCAAGAGCCATACTCTTCTATCCTCAGATTTTCATTTTTGAGATCCTGTCATCCCTCTTATACTGTTTCTTCTTTCAAATTATCTGGCTATGGGATCAGACTGCACTTTCCTCTGAGCTTCTGAGAGCTGTGTGCTGACTTTAGGATCCATGTCAGAGCCTCCCCTGAGTGGATTTTCTTGGGCATGTTAACCCTCCATGTGAAAGATTCCCGGCACCCCCCCAGCTTCCTACGTTTCTGCTTCAATAACTAGTTTTTACTTCTTCCTCCAAGGTCAGAATTAAATCTAGGAGAGAAGTTCCTTGTGTTTCTTTCTCTTCCTCTGCAAAATGAAATTATCAGCAAGACAAGGTCAAAAGTATACCGTATGTTCTGCTTTTAGAGAAATGAGATTTCCAGTTGAAACTCAGAGGGCTGGTAAGTTCCCATTACTGCTATGACTTGCAAATGTGTCAATCCTGTGATCTTTTTAGGAATATATTAATCAGAGTTCCATCTTGTTTAGCTGAGGCTATTATATTCACTTCTGTTATGCTAGGTGCTTTCCAAACCATTTAACAGTGGAGGGAATCTTCAGTCATCAATATGACAATGTTTAGGACTTTCCCCAAGGAATGCACCCAAAGACTGTAACTTGAGTTCCTAATGATACTTGATTCAAAGTGTTTTTTGAATGCCACTGTTAATGAAAAAGAATTTTTTTTTAATGATATTTGTTGAAGTTGGTGAGACAGACTTTATTCAGGACCATCATGAATGTATGGGGACCACTGCAATGGGATTCCATGGTGGGAGGAGAGATGGGGCTAAACTCGGAATACAGGATGGGCAAGTGGGAATTTATAGGCAAGGAGCACAGTGAGGGTCCGTAGATAGAAAATTACTGAGAGGAAACATCTGGGGTAAGGGGGGTTTGTCTGGCGAAACTGACCCAACTGAATTCTTGCTGAAGACAGGTCAGGGTGAGCAGACATCACCTGGGGGGGTAGTGGAGCATGGGGAGCCTGATCAGATATCGAAGGTGGAAGGTTCTGGATAAACTGATTTAGCAGGGTTCTTGACAAAACTAGATTTTTATAAGGTGGTGCACAGATGGGCCTAGGAGAAGGATTAGGAGGTTGAGTAAAGTTTGATCAAAGCAATGTATCTTTGCCACAGGTAGGAAAGGGAGCGGATGGGAATAGCCCAGAGTAGGGATCAAGGGCCTGGATTTGGAGTCAAACATACTTGGTTTTGAATCCTAGTGCTCTGTGTATTAGGAAAACAGAAACTAAGCCAGTAACTTTAACAGAAAAGAATTTAACAGAGGAATTGTTTAAATGGGTACTGGAGATGCAAAAAGGTAAAAAGAACAAAGAGGCCACTGAGGCACAGAGGGATGGTGACTTTAGGAAGCAGTGACTGCCCCAAGGGCTAGCAGGACAAAGAGAAGAGGATGAGGATATTAGAACCTCAAAGCTCGGAGCAGAGCCCTTTATAACTGGGACCTGGACCTCTGAGTTGACTGATGCTGATATTTTTGAAGGGCCGGTCTGGGGATGTGGGAAGTTACTGCTGCAGAGGTGAAAACCACTACGGGCGAGATGCTGACCTTACTGGGAAGCAAATAGGAAGCAGCAGTCCCTTCTCCCTTGCCCAGCGCGACAGTCTCCTGCTAGCCTGCCAACGAAGAGCCAGTGATAAAGCAGAAATGTGGTTTGCAGAGTCCAGGCCTCAGCATCACAGAAAAGATGGGTTCTGAAACAGAAAGAAATCACTTACTAACCAGTACAATGGCCTTACAGGAATGACAGAAGCTCTCTTAGCCTCAGTTCCTCTCCTTGTGTCACGGGGAGAAGTGCCTCTTCTCGAGGTTTTTGTAAGGACTGAATGAGTGGTGAATGCAAATTGCTGGGCAGGTGCATCGGCAGCAGCTCCACATCTGACTGCGTCTGACACCCCATCTTCAGCCTCAATCCAGCTGCCAGAGGGTGACGAGGGAAGGGAGAAAGAAGGGTGGAAAGAGGGAGGAAGAAAGATGAGAGAAAGAAGGAGGGGGAGAATGGAAGAAAAGTGAGAGTCACCCTGGGCTTGCGTAGCTACATCGAGAGGGAGATCTTCCACCACAGAGGGAAGGGCAGAGGCTCTGTGGACCATCCCTGGTCCCCCTGGGAAGGCTTTGCCCATTTGGAACAGATTACATGCTCCAGGTGCTTTTCATGACTCCTGGGTGTTGTGATGATTTCTGCAAAATCAAGGAAACTAATAAGAGGAGCTGGAGGTGTGTGATCATTTTCTAAGAAGTGAAGGCTCAGTGGCTTGGCAAAGGGTGACAGCAGGAGGTCTTAATGAGTTAGACCACAAGTTAATCCTGTCTTGTTTCTCCTTTAACTGTTGTTTTTTTTCCTTGTGTCTTTGGCTGGTGCTAGCAGCTGGTCCGACTGTGTAATTAAGTCATTTCTAAAAGAGCTGAGCAGCTGGGTCAGTACTATATGTTCCAGTGATCATTGGCTGTCAGGCTGAAGCTTAAATTAATATTCTGAAAAATTATTGAATTTATGCTGCCCCATCTTCATGGAAACCAGCAACCAGAATGACACTGCTATTCAGGCTTCCACTTTCATCAACAAATTCAAGGAGGGATAAAATCCAGAGACAGCCTGCTATCTCCAGCAATATTTCTTAGACTAGCTGTTGATGTGAAAAGTAGATAAGACTCAATTTAGTCTAAGGAATTGGAAATGTAACTGTTGGCCGTGTGTGCCAAGGCTGGACAGGACAATCATCACCCCACCACGCGGAGGTGTCTCTCTTGCCTCCCGGCCTCATTTCCTTCCTGGATAATAAACATAAATTCCCTATAATGCAAAAGGGTTACTTTCTGGAGGTGCAAATTGAAATGTGATGGCTGTATAAACTTATGAAATTAGTTTCGTTGGTGGAAGAAATCTTAATTAAAGGACTGCTTTGAAATAAGGGAGAGTAATAAAGTATTTTTCATTATGTTCACCTTGGCACCAGCCACCTTCACCTTAATGATCTAATTTCTATTTTTCTTATTTAATGGATGACATTAGATTAGCTTTCCCAACAGTTTCATTTCCAAGTTAATGAAGTCAAAAGCTAAGTATATATAGTAGATCATTAGGGTCTCTGCCTGGAACCACCAATATCCCATAGTCCTGGATTCTGCTCTTTCACGACAAGATGAGATTTATCAGAAAAACCAGTCCCTCTTTTCATACTAAATGACTAGGTCCTGTATCATTTAACTATCAGAATTACAGAGGAAATAGCGTCTCCTCCAAGTCAGTAAGTTTGCTCCAATATTAGGGTTTTTGTGACTTTCCATACAAAAAATTGAACAAAAAGAATAGATTTAATGTGTGAGAATCAAAATTTGGGAATTTAAAAATTGATGTGTAGTAACCCAGTCATATCAGGGAGTGGGGGACAGGGTTTTAAACATTTATTGAAGGTAGTAACAGGAGTAAAATTTAATTTTATAAAAATCTTTTTTGTTTGTTTTAAAGTGAGACTATACCCACCTTCTCTTCCATCAGGCTTCTTAAGGAAAGAGCACAGGATTTGGGGTCAAAGACCTTGGTTTGCTCATCTGCCATTTCCAGTCAAGATGGAATAACAGGGATGAGATTTACAATTCCCACCTGAAACCACGAAAGAAAGAAAGAAAGAAAGAAAGAAAGAAAGAAAGAAAGAAAGAAAGAAAGAAAGAAAGAAAGAAAGAAAGAAAGAAAGGTTTTCAAAAATATGAACATTAGAAAACAAAGGACTTTGACTCTTGAGACGTGATTTCTTAATAATGAGGTGAGTCTTAAAACCTGTGTAAAGTCAATGCAATCCTTAACAAAATTTCAGAAGTCTTTTCTGTAGAAATTGAAAAGCTGATTCTAAAATTTGTATGGAAATGTAAAACAAAACAAAACAAAACAAAAAAAACAAGAATAGTCAAAACAAGTTTTTTTTTTTTAAAGATTCTATTTATTTATTTGAGAGAGAGAATGAGAGAGAGAGAGCAGGAGAGGGGGGAGGGTCAGAGGGAGAAACAGACTCCCTGCCGAGCAGGAGCCCGATGCGGGACTCGAAGCCGGGACTCCAGGATCATGACCTGAGCCGAAGGCAGTCGCTTAACCAACTGAGCCACCCAGGTGCCCAGTCAAAACAAGTTTAAAAAAGAAGAGCAAATTTGGAGGGTTTATGCTTCCTGATTTCAAGACTCATTATAAAGCTATAGTAATCGGAGAGTATGGTATTGGCATAAAGATAAATAGATTAGTGGAACAGAACAGAGATTCTAGAAATATCGTTACATATATCTGGCCAATTGATATTCAAAAAAGATGCAAAGAAAATTCAATGGAGAAAGGATAGCCTTTTCAATAAATGGTGCTGGAACAACTGGATATCCATTTGCAAACAAGCACACAAATAAGAAATTCAATACACTCTCACATGATGTAAAAATGAACCAAAATGTATCAAAGACCAAAAGTAAAACCCCAAATCACAGAACTTCTAGAAGACCTAGAAAAAAATCCTTGTGACCTGAGTTAGGCAAAGCCTTCTTAGATACGGCACCCAAACCATGATCTATAAAAGACAAATTTTATAAATTTGACCTCATCAAAATTTAAACATCCACTCTTCAAAAGACATTAATAGGAGAATGAAAAGACAATCTACAGAATGAGAAAAGTATTTGAAAAATCACATATCTGATAAATACTCATATCCAAAATATATAAAGAACTCATAAATCTCAAAAAGCAAACAACCTTATTTTTAAAATGGGCAAAAGAGGGCGCCTGGGTGGCTCAGTCGGTTAAGCGACTGCCTTCGGCTCAGGTCATGATCTCGGAGTCCCGGGATCGAGTCCCGCATCGGGCTCCCTGCTCGGCAGGGGGTCTGCTTCTCCCTCTGACCCTCTTCCCTCTCGTGCTCTCTGTCTCTCATTCTCTCTCTCTCAAATAAATAAATAAAATCTTAAAAAAAAAAAAATAAATAAATAAAATGGGCAAAAGATTTGAATAGACACTTCACTAAAGAAGATATATGAATGGCTAATAAGCACATGAAAAGATACTTAAAATCATTAGTCATCAAGGAAATGCAAATTAAGAGCACAACGAGATATTACTACATACTTACCGGAAAGTATAAAATGAAAAGACTGACCATGGCAAGTGTTGGCAAAGATGTGGAGAAACTGGAACTCTGGAACTACTGATAAGTAAAATGTATAACTACTTTGGAAAACAGTTTCACTGTTTCCTACAAGTTAAACATGTACCTATCATATAACCCAGATATTCCATTTCTAGCTATTTACCTAAAAGACATGAAAGCCTATGTCCATGGCAGGGACTTGTACATTAATGTTTATAACAGCTTTAGTCAGAGTAGACCCCAAATAGAAATAATCTATATTCCCATCGCCAGGGAATGGATAAACAAATTGTGGTATATCCATATAAAGGAATATTCATCAACTATAAAAAATGAACTGCTGATGCACACAACATGAATGAATCTCAGGAAAAGTATGATGAATGAATATAGCCAGACAAAAAAGAGTGCATGCTGTATGCTTCCACTTACATAAAATTGTATAAAATGAAAACCAGGGTCACCTGGGTGATTTAGTCGGTTAAGCATCTGCCTTCAGCTCAGGTCATGATCCCGGGGTCCTGGGGATCAAGTCCTGCATCAGGCTCCCTGCTCAGTGGGGAGCCTGCTTCACCCTCTGCCCCTCCCCCCAACTCGTGCTCTCTCTCTCTCTCGTGTGCGTGTGCAAAAATAAATAAAATCTTTAAGAATAAAATGAAAGCCATAGTGACAGAAGGCAGATCAAAGCTTACCTGGAGATGGTAGTGGGGGTGGAGAGGAGAGGGGGTAGGACAGGGGGAGGGATTCCCAAGCAGCTGAGGAAATTTATGGGGATAACAGATATATTCATTATCTTGATTATGGTGATGGTTTCACCATTTTATACATGTCAAAACTTGCCAAATTTTACTCTACGTATGTGCAGTCTATTATAGTTCAGTTATATTTCAATAAAGTTGTTTTTAAAAAGGCCTGTGTTCAAGTCCTAGTTGTGTGATCTTGAACAAGTTTCTTGTCCCCTCAGGGGTCAGTAATAACAAGCATGTCACAGGTGAGACCCTGCAGTGACAGTCCTTAAACAAGTACCACACCAATGGCAGGTACAGCATCTCGTCCTCCCTATAAAAACCTGATTTTACTATTCATCCCACAGACAGTGTTCTCTCTCTCTAGGTTGTAGCTGTTATCTTCAGAAATCAAAGGACCTGATTTTTGAAGCTGAGGTAGTTCAATCTCTTAAAAATGCCTTGCGCACCTGGGTGGCTCAGTTGGTTAAGCGACTGCCTTCGGCTCGGGTCATGATCCTGGAGTCCTGGAATCGAATGCCGCATCGGGCTCCCTGCTTAGCAGGGAGTCTGCTTCTCCCTCTGACCCTCACCCCTCTCATTCTCTCTCTCTCTCAAAAATAAATAAAATTAAAAAAAAAATGCCTTTATAAACTAAGTCAGATGGGGAGAGGTGAGAACACACAGGAAACTAAGAGAGCACGCAGGCAGAAATCACGCTTGCCCGATCAGCAAGGGACACAATAAACCCAAACCATCTGGCCTCTGTGTGACCCCCCACTAACTTCCCCACATTCACGTGACAAAAAATTGTAACAATTTAAAAAATGAAGATCATATGCTTTGGAGTCAGTCTTCCAATCAGATTCTGACTCGTCACTCACTGAGTCTGTGACTTTGGACAGCTCACTCACTCTTGCTGAGCCTCAGTTTCCTGACTTCTAGACCCACTATCCGCATGGCTATGAGGAAGAAACATAAAAAGTACCTTGGACAGCACTTGGCACACGAAGGTGCTCAGTCAAAGTGTTAACACGCTAGATTGTGGTAGCTCTTGAGTAGCAAGCTCCTGGCCCCAGTTCAGTACTCTTTCCACACTATTCTCTGCTGCTGGTTCCTTTGGCTAGTCTGTGGCAGAGGGGCAATTAGATACCAGGTATCTTAGCTCTCAGTCTGGCGTTCTTGCCACCATGCAAGGTCATTTTTCTGGAATTCATTTATTAATTATAGAGAAGGGTACCTAGAGATAAAATCATACCAGTTGCAGGAAAAATCCCTTTGGACCGTACTCCAATGCCATTCATTACCAGTTCAGTCCCCAGTGTCTCTCTGGAGATGCATTCTCTGATTGCTCCTACCGCTGAACCAGAACCCGTTCCAGAGCTTTATGGCAGGTAAGGCCGGTGCTGGACTAGAAAGGATGCTCTGGGTGCAGAACCGCTGTTGTGATGCCCCTCAACCACAAGATGGCACACAATCCTCTTCTTTCGGGAAGGGAACACCGCAGTGCAAGTCTGAAACCAGGCATATTTCGAATCAGAAGAAGATGCATTTATTTTTAAAAGTTGCCTCCTTCACTCTTAAAAATGCTCAGGACAAAGCAAAGAGCATGGAAGGAGATTCTGCCAGGCTGAGAGGTGACAGGAGAAAGGCTGCGGTGGGGGGACCCAGGAGCAGAAGTGGTAGGACGAGCCTTCTTGGTGTCCGCCCCTGGTCCTGCTGCCTCCCTCCTCGATCATAGTCTTGTCAGAGCTCCCCACTCCAGAATGGGCTATCGGGGTCCCTGACTGAGGGTCTACCTGAGCCTTGACCAGAGTGTAACGTTCCTGAGTTCCTCTTCTACTCCCACAGAGACCTGTGCTCCTTATCTCTTCCCATGATGGCAAGGACAGGTTTCTCACAATTGCCCCCCTGCCCCCATGTTCTCTGCTGCTGAGCATCCACTTCAGACATTACTTGCTGTGGTTGTGATGCTAGCACCTGGATCCGGGAGTCGATTTTGTTCTGTATCTCACCTGGAATAGACCCAGGCCTGGGCTGCAGTGGTCCTGCCCCTCCTGCGAGCCGCCACTCCATACAGCCCTCTGCTGACAGGGCCACCGTCTTCCTTCCCGGTCCTTCCTCCTCACTTACAATCTACCAGCTGGCGAAAGGCATATTATGGAGCCTAAAGCATTTGTAATACCTCCCCAGTGGCTCATGCATCTCACTCGCAGAGAAGAGAATATTCCCATTGCCTAAAGTAATGAGAAGATCTGCCCTTAAATCCGGTGTCATCTTTCCTAGGAAATCATGAGGAAACATGGTCCAGACACACAGACAAATCACTGCAACATAAACCTGAGGGGAGGGCAGGTTAGAGATGATCTCCAAAGGCTGAGTGGGAGTTAGCTAGTCCTAGGTGGGCAGAGGAGCGAGGCTGGCACGAGGGAAAACGTTCTCCACGGACACGACACGTGCAGGCCGGAGGTGAGGGACAGCAGATGCAAGCTACGTGCACAGGTCGTTCTGGGGTGCTAGAGACCGAAACGCAGAGAGCCACTGAGGAAGCAGTGCTGTGACAGGCAGTTGGGCCTCTGGCTCTAAGGGATGGACTGAACCCCTGAAGAGTTTGATGAAGGCGGTTTATGCTTTAAATAAATCGCTCTACCCCTAAGGGGAAGGACAGATTAAGGAAAGATATTCCTGTATCCTGGGAAACCAGTTGGGATGCGATTGAAGTAACTCAGGCGGGAGACGATGTGGCCTGAGCCAGGACTGTGGTGAAGGCGTAGAGAGGAGCATTGAGAAGGCTCATGCAAGAGGACCCCATCAACCAACTGAAAGTGAGGGATCAGGGCAACTCCTAAGTGTCTGGCTTATAAGAGTAAGGAGCTGTGGCATCGGGAGGAAGGGCTGATTTGGAAGGAAGGTGACAAAAATCGGATTTGGGCATGCTGAGTCTGAAGTGCTCAGAGGACATGCAGCTAGAGATGACCAGCAGGCAGGTAGTTATAGCCGAAACCTGATCAAGGGTCTGGAGCAGTAGTATTTATTTGGGAGACAGCAACGGATAAGTGTGGTTAAAACCAGGACAGTAGATGAGATGGTCCTGGAATAGAGTCAAGGAGCGGGTCAGTGTTGATTCCTTTAACATTGACAGTGAAGGGATAAGAAGCAGAAGAGAAGCTATTGGAAAGAGAAATCCATACAGGACACAGACAAGGAATGGCCAAGGAGGTGTAAGTCGAAGCAGGGAAGTGCTTTGCCATAGACTCCAAATGATTAGAAGGAAGGAGTCGATGGTGCTAATGCAGCAGAGAGACCCAGCAAGATCAAGACTGTGGCCTCTCCACACTGTGTGGTGACGGGGAGGTTGCAGCGGGCTGAGGGCGGTGGACTGGAGAGCCAAGGGAAGCTGAGAACGTGGGGACAATGAGAGCAGATCACCTTTTGGGTGGCACAGGCTGAGAAGGGGAGGAGAGAGGTGGGCGATGGAGTGGTGACCGTGAGGTGAGGAGCCAGCAGGGCTGAACTGAATATAGGGTAAAAAAACCCTTCTGTTATTTGTTTGATTTTAAAGTATATGCATTTTTTTTTTACTTTTTTAAAAAAAACCATTATAGATTCACAGGAAGTTGCAAAAACAGTACAGAGAGGTTCTGCTTCTTCACCCACGAGTAACATCTTACATTGCCATAGTCGATAGTCTCGAAACCAGGAAATGGACATTGCTACAACCTATAGACCTATTCAAATTTCGACAGTTCTTACAGGCACTTATGTGTGTTTGAATAGTTCTCTGCAACTTTATCATCGGCCTCGATTTGTGCCACCACCACCACCACAATCAAATACAGAGCTATTCCATCACCACAAAGAACTCCCTCATAGTGCCCCAACCCCTGGTGACCACAAATCACTACAACTGTCATTTTGAAAATATGATAGAAATGGCACCATAGAGTATGTAACATTGAGAGACGGGCTTTTGTTCACTCAGCCTTGAGACCATCAGTGTTGTTGCAGGTATTAAGAGTTTGGGTTTTTTTTTTATTACTGGATAGTATCCCATTATATGGAAACACCACACAGTTCAGCCATTCACTTCTTTGAAAGACATCTGGGTTGTTTTCAGTTTGGGGCTCTTACACAAAAAGGTGCTATGGACATTGTGTAGCAGTAGGGTAGAAGTTTTTGTGATGTTCGTTTACATTTCTCTGGCACATTTGCCATTTTTGTATCATATGGTAAGTGTATGTCTACTTTTATAGGAAACTACCAATTATTTTCCAGAGGACTGTACCATTTTGCATTCCCACTAGCAATTTACGAGCGATCCAATTGTTCCATCTTCTCATCAGCATTTGGTATTGTCGATATTTTTTTATTTTAGCATTTCTAATAGGTGTATGCTATAGGAAGCTTTTATTGCACTGTGTTTTATTTGTTTGTAGGTTTGCTAGCAAATGTGAGCCTCTGACAAGTTTATGGGCTGAGGGGAAGGAATGAGCAGAGACAATGAATTGAAGGTCTAGGAGAAAGGAGACGAGTGGATGTAGTCTGGAGGAGAAGGAAGGAAGACGGGGGCGGCATGAGCTTTGGCAGCAGGATGTGCACCTTATTCTCTGCCACTGGAGGAAAGAATGTCAGGATGGAGAAGTGGGTAGAGATAAGCTGTCAGGGAGAGGTTAAGAAGTTGACTCTAAGCAACAAAGCAGCAGAAACAAGATGAGAAGCAGAAGGCCCTGGGGAACATTATCATTAGCAGCCTGGGCTCCGGAGTCACACCGCTCTGGATTCTGGTACCACCACTCACCAGCTATGTGACCTTGGGCACGCGATCTGATCCCCCCAAGTACTTGGTGTCCTCATTTATAAAATGGGTATATAATAGGCCCTCCCTTACAGGGTTATCGTGAGAATTGAGTAAGTTTCTATGCATGCTATGAATGGAGAGTGGCAATGAAAATGGTCACACAGCAAATCAAAGAATTAAATATGCCAGAGAAACTCATGGTCCAAACAGTTGGCTAATTTTTGGTTTATATGTCTTTCTACAACCTCCCACAAGACGGAAAGTAACTTGAGGGTAGGAGCCATATTTCTTACTTTTCTTTGTCTTCCTAGCATCCTGTTCAATGCCTTCCTCCTAGAGAGCTCTCAGTAAAATTTGTGAAATGACTGAATAAATGAGTTGCAGTCGACCTGACAAGAGCTCAGACTCCTTGACCCTCAGGCCGCCTTCTCCTTCCACCCCACCATCCCTCAGGGGGAGCCTCTCACTTCTGTGTTTGCAAGCCTGCTACACTAATCTTTCTCTGGGACCACCAGACAAAAGAATAATGATTTCTCGAATTGGGCTCTAGAATTCAGTTCGGAAAATGCAAAAGCATATTATGGTTCACTATTAAAAAGTCAAGTGATCTATTTCTGTTGGTTTACACATTACCGAGAATTAAAAAGGAAAAGGAGAGGGGCGCCTGGGTGTCTCAGTCACTTAAGCATCTGCCTTGGGCTCAGGTCAGGATCCCGAGGTCCTGGGATCGAGCCCCGCATGGGGGGGGGGGGTCCCTGCTCAGCGGGGGGTCTGCTTCTCCCTCTCCCCCTCCCTACCTCGTGCTCGCTCTCTCTGGCTATCTCTGTCTCTCTCTCAAATAAATAAATCTTAAAAAAAAAAAAAAGGAAAAGGAGAGAAAGATGGTTTGTCGGAGAGACTTTTGGAATTACCTGTTTTTAGGACCACCGGCATCCCGGGAGGGACCGAACTTCTGCCAGTTCAACAGGTGCAGGGCCCGAGGGCTGGGTAAGCGCGGGGAGCCCCGGAGGGCGGAGCGGGGGGGGGCAGCGGGGGGGGGCAGCAGCAGCGGGGCCAGCGGGCTGCGCGCTCAGTGCGCTCCGGGGCGCGGCGCGGGGAGGGGCCGGCGTCCGCGACGCTAACCAGGGAGAGGCCGCGCCGGATCACACGTGTGCCTGGTCGCGATTTTAAACCTCGCTCCCCTCCCCAACCTTTAAAAAAATGATTGTAGAAACACCCAGCTTCCTGTCCATCTCTCTCTCTGTCCCTCCTCCCTCGGATAAGATATGCAGCTAAGAAGCTGCCTGCAGACGTTGGGGGGGGGCGGGGGGGGCAAGATGAGTAAGCAATGGAGGTAATACAGGAATTCGGAAAATCCATTAACTGCGTATCACCCCCTCCTCAAAGTCTTCCAGTCTTGGCAAGAGCGCCAAGAGGTGGAGTGTAACTTCTCCCGGAATCTCAACAAGACCCAAGCCCTGGGTCCTTCCTGCCGAGCCAGTCGCTGGGACCGCCAGGGGTCAGGCTGCGGCTGAGAACAGGCAGGGACACCCCAAGGCCGAGCTCCGCCCCGCTCTCCCTCCCTGCCTCCCGCCCGCGGCCCGGCCTGACCGCGCACCCAGACTCGGCCAACCAAGCGCGTCCGGCACTGCGTGTGGATTCCTTGCCCATTTGTCACAGAAGCTGCCCGGAGTTGAGTTAGGCCCGCGAGGGAATCATTCCCTCATTTCCATTAAGTTGGAGAACCACGCACCTAAGAATCACGTGGGGGTGGGGGAGGCGGCGCTTATCCTGGGGCCTGATTCTGGGGGCAGACTCCCCGGGGGGGGGGGGGCCAAGAATCTGCGTCGTGTGCGAACTCTTTGAGGGTTCTGAGGCAGGTAGGGCAGGCCACACTTTGACAAGACAATGCTTTAAGCAGTTCAAACCAGGGCAATCCGTACGCGGAGGGATTTGGCTTTGTGTCTAGCCTGGGACTTAAGCAGGCCATGGGATGAGGCATCAGATGTGTGGTCTCTGGCCACGTGAATAACCACCCAAGATGGGGATGAAGGAGGCTGAGGATGAAGGAAAATTCTTACTCCCTGGTCCCAGATGAAGACCACTGCCGCTGACCCAACCCTCTCCTGATGTCCTTCATGCATTGTGTTCCTTCTAATCATTTCTGGGCACTGGTTTCCTTATGTCATCCTCTTTGACGTCCCTCCCTCCTCCTCATTGCTCTGAAAAAGCATTCTGGATTAGAGGCAGCTAAGCTCTCTGCTCAGGATAATGTTTGTTGTCCTTCATTGGTGCTAAGACAAAATTTACCACACGAGCACCCTGATGTCCTAACAGCTTTTCAGGGAGAAGTGGGAGTGAAATACGGCATCAAATATGCTCGTCTGTTGTAAATATGCTCCTCTGTTGTAAGATGCAGCCCAGTTCCAGAATCAATACAAAATGTGTTTTAGAATAGAGAAAGGTTTCTTCTTCTCATAATCGATTGTTACTTTATTCATTCAACTCAAATTCATAGAGTACCTTCTGAGCCAAGAGCCTGCTGGGAGGGGTGAGCCAGATTCACAATGTTGTGTCCCTCACAGTGCAGCTACTACGGTGTAGGAGGCAGGAAATGACAGCATGATAATTGAATTAGTGGATCAGAGAGTTGGAGACTGTGACCGGTACTATTAAAGAAATAAATAGGGCAATAGGGCAGAGATGCAATGGAGGGGCCAATTTCAGTTGGGTGTTCAGGGAAGAACTTTCTGAGGAGGGGTCATGGAATTGAGGTTGGAATGAAGAGAAGGACCTGAGGTGGAATATTCCAGGTAGAGAGTATTTTCTTGTAGTTTCAACCAAGTCCACCCGGCACCTTGGCCCATGGCAACCGAACCTCCTCTTGTTGCTTAACTCAACATTTTTCAAACAACTTTTTTGAGTCACGTGACACTAGTTGGTGAGGATGCAGGTGTGAGCAAGAATGACATGGTTTCTGCCCTCCTAAAATTTATAACCTGGTGCAATTCTTAAAGATAAGTCTCTGCTGTTGCTCAGTTTCTAAGTTTACCATTAACCTTCATCATAGAAGATTTATTTTAGCTTTTGGATTAGTGTGGCCCTGTTGGGGAGGCCTTTGTGACTACAAATACCAAAATCCAATGGGGGAATCATCTGTGGAGGTCCCAAGAACCTGAATGTGATGTCTGGTGGCACAGATTAAAAAAAAAAAAAAAATCCAGCCATCACAGCCTGCCCATTCTGGAGGGAAGGAAGCTTTCCTTTGCTCTCTAGCATACTCTTCATACCATCCCATCTCGCCAGTTCTGGGTAAGAAGACGAATTGGGTTGCCAAAGCAGAGCTCCTATCTTCCATAACTGAATCCAGCCCATTCCGGCATTGTCATTTTGGGCGCCCTCTATTGGTGCTGAGCAGAAGCGCAATGGCCGGGCCTGCCCACACTTCTCAGACCCTGGAGGCTGTCAAAGGGGAAAGAACGGTTTGTGTTTGAACCCCTCAGGGGCCTTTCTGAGTTTCGCATCTCTCATGAGATGAACGATGGTACAGAAGTGGCAACAATCTATAGGAGAGCTTTGCTCCCACCCTTCCCAGGAAGCCCCCGCTTCTCCTATAGCATGAATTTGTAACTGCCAGACGCTGTCGACCCCCCTGGCAAAAAGCAGAGTTTTACCCCTGGGTTTCAGAAAGTTCCTACTGCATCTGAATTGCTACTAAAGAAGGAAGAAGAGAAAGCTAACGTAGGAGAGGACTGCCTTGGGGCCGCGGGCAGGAGTGGTCTGGAATGGTCTGCAACCGGCAGAGCAGGGCTTCCAGGGGGCGGTAGAGGAATGGGCGGGCACAGCCGAATCCTGGGCCTCACCCCTGCAGGTTCTGATGGGCTGGTGGGCTGTGAGGCCTGGAAATAAATCTATCTTTTAAAAAAGCTTCTTGGGAGCCTCTGAGACTCATTCAGGTTTGTGAACACTTGACCGAGGGCATAGACTGATCAACAGTCTCCTACTTATAGTCATCTCCGATGCTGACATCGTCTGTGTCTCCACCCACACCCTCCGCATGCCCAGACTCAGGTTCCATCTTCTGCCCACTTTTTTTTTGTCTTAGCCGCCCCCCGCCCCCAAGGCGGGCTGCTGAAACCTGAGTAAGCCCCAACCCCATGCCAGGTGGAGCAATTGACTTGGGCCGGGTCAACAAAGGCTTTGAGTTACCAGACACCCATCTGCTGACTGTTCTCACCAAGGAAACAGGAGCCAGATCACTTTCACTGGGCATCAACCCCACATGTCCCAATGTGCAGGGAGAAAGGCAGATTCATCCCGCCTTCTGGTGTTTTCACTACAAACTCCCATGTGGCCGCGGGAAGTCTTTTTCATTAATAGCCCAATACCTCCCAGAATAGCCTGCAGGCGTTGTCAGGAAGAGTCCAAGCCCAAAGGAACAGCCTCCCTCTTCCCTTCTACCTCCTGGGCTTATGCCCACACTGTGTTCATTGGAGACAAACTTAACAGTTCCCACTCCTCAAAAGGAAGCCTGACTCCCCACCCCACTTGCTTCCATGTGCTGATCCTTTTCTCTTTATGGTCTCTGGGAACCCAGGGTTCTTTGCTAGTGACTGAAATCAGTTCTATTTTCTTAAAAAGAATTTTTAAAATTTTAAAGCAATAGATCTATAAAGCCTCTAACAAAAAAAAGAGCACTTTCCTCTTCCCTCCCCAGATGCTAACACTTTCAGTTCTTGAGGTGGTTCTAGAAGAAAAGTATTTGCCTCCATATTTTCAAGTAACAGTCTCATAATATTTGTATACTGCTTTTTCAATTTGGAATATTATCTGCCAGCTTCCTATTATGGAAGATAAGATACCACTTGGCACACACATTCATTCTCTCTCTTCTAGGACTAAAGGTTCTCTGGTCCTAACAGAGCTTAAAAAGCAAGTCTTTTAAATATTGAAAGAGAAGTGCTGTTCAGTACTATACCCAGCAAAGACCTCTTTCAAAAACAAAAAGTGAAATTAAAACTTTTTTTTTAAAGGCTTGGCAATAATTTTATTTTTAGATTTATGGACACCAGAATATTCCTGTGGCAGGAGTGAAAGTAAACTAAATTTTGAAATTAAACAGATAACCATACACCTATGTTTCAACATGTAAATTACACATTTGCATTCCTTTCCAAAACGAGGTTTCAGCATTAGAACTGAAATAAAAACTTTTGTAGGCCTACAAAAGCTGAAAGAATTCAACACCAGGAGATCTGTATAAGAAATGTCAATGGAAATCTTTCAGGCAAAAAGAAAATACCAGATGAAACACTTTATTTGCACAAAGAAGGGAGAGCCCCAGAAGTGGCAAATATGTGGGTAAATATAAAACACATTTTTTTTCATATTTTAAATCTTTTTAAAAATAACTGACCGTTTAAAGCAAGAATAAAAACAGTGTGTTTTGAAGTTTATAACATATGTAAAAAGTCAAATGTACTGCAACTGCAAAAAGACCAGGAAAGGGAAATATAAGTATTCTGTTGTAAGTTTCTTATACTATATTTAAAGTGGTGTAATATTATTTGAAGGTGGATTATGAGACCTTAAAGATGTATACTATAAACTTCAAAGCAACCACTATAAATAAAGAAGCATAAGAGAGAAAATGAAATAAAAATCATTAAGCCCAAAGAAGGCAAAGAGGAAAAAAGGAACAGAGAAGAGCACAAGTAAAATCAAATAGAATGTTGGTACATTTAAACCCAGTCAGTAACAATAATCAATTCAACGCAGAATTCACTGAAGACATTTATTTACAAGGAATAGCCCAGAATTTTTTGAAATACAGACCCAGTAAGAACATTTTTTCCAGAGGCAAAAAAATACCATAGAATTCCTGTTATTAATGACAGTGATGAAGAATTGGCGGTTTTTTCTCTATAGAGGGCCAAAGAGTAAATATATTGGGCTCTGCAGGCCCTATGGCTCTGTTGTGACTAGTCCACTCCGCAGCTGGAAAGCGGCCCAGATGACAGGTAAAGAATTGAGCAGTCTACGTACTGAACGCTCAGCGCAGCACGGGGAGAAACTCACGCAGACCTCCAGAGCG